GCGGGGACCTCTTTTTCTAATGACTACAGATGGTAGTCCCATGTCGTCCCCCCCCATTTCCTTTGTTTTTTTGGAATATATTCCAAGTAGTGAATAATCTATAGATTTAAGAGTTTGATGCATGCATGTATGTATCTACATATGTGTGTATGCATGTGTGCACATTGGTATGATTATTTTATATATCTTCTTTTTGTATTTTAGACCTGGAATGGCCAGTCAACAGGCAGAAGTTCAGAGCTTGAAACTAAGTAATGATTCAATTATAGAAGGAGTAAGTGACCAGGTGCTGGTGGCAGTAGTACTCAGTTTCTCTTTCATTGCTGCTCTGGTGTGTATGCTTTTAAGGTGAGACAATGTTGATAGGAGTTGATTAACATAAACATTCTAATATTACTGTCACATTTTAATTTTTTCCTTCAAGTGCATAGTTGGTTTAAGGTACAAGGTAATTATGATTCTGTTATGTGAAAGTAAACTATTGTTTGTAGCCTCACTCTTGTAGCCATGTTAAGGGAAAGCAGGAACACTATGAAAGAGGGGAGCTGGGTGTGTGTAAGGGAAGGACAGAAAACACTGGGGATAGTGTGTTTGAGTGAACTTTTTCATACAGAAGTGATGTGTGAGGAGAGCTAGTGAATTTAGGAGACGTGATGACTGCACCCTTTTTTAAATGAACAGAAGTCACAGTTCAGAATCTGTGCCTGAATTAAAAGTCTGCGCTGTGAGTGAAGAAACTATTAACAGTAATTATGATCTGCCAAGAGCTGCAGCTCTTTAATATAGTCAGTACAATGAAATGCTTTCATCAAGTCTATATGCTGTTATGAGCAACTAAATACTGACAAAATAAAGCCACATATCTTCCATCATCTCATAGATTCATAGATTGTAAGGCCGGAAGGGACCTCAGAAGATCATCGGGTCCAGCCCCCTGCACCAAGCAGGAAAGATAACTGGGGGGTCAGGTGACACTCTGAGTTAGTTGACACACGAGAGCTGAGTTTGTGAAAGCTTATCTAACAAGTTGAAGGGGGCCAGACTACTGTCTAATGTAGAGGTGTACCTGACAGGATTTGCACTCTGGACAGCTACAGGTTTTGGCTGATGTCCAGGACCTAGGGATGGAGGCAAGAGAGCTGTAGTGTCCCAGCTGTGTAGAAAGAGGGAAGGATCTAGGGGGTGGAAGGAAGGAGGCTTTAAGATCCAGCTGCTATGGGCGTAGGTGTCCTCCAGCCAAGGACTAATTTCTTCTCCAAGTGATATTTTGTTTCCATTGCAGGAAACTGCACACTGAATATGGCAGGAATGCTTGCCCCATTTAGTGCCACACTAGATTCCGAGAGCTAGGACACTAGATATTCTTGCAATCATTTCAGGTTATATTTTTCCCTTTTAAAAAACAAGGCAGATAACATTACGGTTACAAGGTTAACCTATCAAAAATCAAGACATGTCAAAGTAAGGATTGTACTTAACTCTGCCCCTATGTGTATATTTAGACAGTCTATTTACATAATCACCATTTCTTATTTTTTCCAATACAAGGTTTATTCCTGTCACCTTACAGAATAGGTCTCCTTAGGAGTCCTTGCAGCATTTTTTGTAAACACTGCATAGTGAATGTTCTTTTCCTCATTCACTGAGTATCTTGTGTACATATATGCTACATTTAATAGATTTCATAGTTTTTGGGGGTCGGAAGGGACCTCAGTAGATCATCGAGTCTGACTTCCTGCTCTGGTCGGGAAAGAGTGCTGGGGTCAGATGACCCCAGCTAGGTGCTTGTCTAGTCTTCTCTTAAAGACCGCCAAGGTAAAGGAGAACACCACCTCCCTTAGAAGCCCACTCCAGATTTTGGCAACCCTCTCCATAAAGAAATGTTTCCTAATGTCTAATCTAAATCTGCTCTCTGGTAATTTATGGCCGTTGTTCCTAGTATCCCCAAGGGATGCCCTGGTAAACAGAGTATCCCTTATTTCTTTCCACCCCACCCCCCCGATGAATTTGTAGATGGCCCAGATCAAGTGTAGTGCCTATTTCTTCATCCCACCAGGGGAACACCATGTATCCGGGTCCAAGAAGACAGTTTGCCTTAAGCGTTCCCTGGGGATAACTATTCCTCTGGTATAGTTTAGTACCCGTGGAGGTGTTAGGGCTTTAAGCCCACTTTATGGAAATGGGAGGCTCCTCCGTAGCTTGCTCCTGCAGCCATATGGCTGAGGGCAGGTGAAACTTGGGGGCATCTGAACCCCAAGCCTCTGGGCTTGAGCTGGCATGTTGGATACCTGCCAAAAGATTTCGGAAATATCTGAAGCCCCTGGCGGAGGTGGAGGATGTTTGCCGGTTGTAGGGCCGCATATGGTTCTGGACTGACTCATGGATTTGGACTTGATTTGGTTAGGAACATGAAAAGTTTCTCTAAAAAAAAACCTGTAGACAGCCACAAGATCCCCTTTCAGCCTTCTTTTGTGGAAGCTGAAGAGATTCAGGTCTCTCAATCTCTCCTTGTAGGATTGTACCTGCAGGCCCTTAACCATACAAGTACCCCTCCTCTGGACCCTCTCAAGGTTATTTTAGAGCCCTAGATGTTCTTTGTACATCTAGGGTTCTACAAAATATTGTCTGTAGGAAATGTAATGTAACACAAAATAAACACTGTATAGCTAAGCGATAAATATAGGAATACTGTGCTAAGGTTGTATGGTTAGCCTTACTTGAACAGCTTTGGCTCCTTAACAAAAATATATCTTCAATAGATAGTATTCGGACAACTAAATCTCAGTTGGATGATGTTTCTAAAAAGGTCATAAAGATTGGGGTGTGATTCCTACTTTTGGTTGATTTTGAAAGTGAAACAAAGTCCTGGCAAGCTGGTGCTAAAATATGTATATGCTTGTACACATGAATATGGATTAACTGTGAGTACTCTGGCAGTTGTTTATTTAGGATTAAACAAATAAATGCTTATGCTAAAAACACATGCATGCAATGCGAGTATTACACAGTTAAGATTGCAGTCAAGTAATACAAATTTTGCAAAAGTTCCTATAGCCATTGGGCAAAATCATAGAATCATGGAAATGCGATGAAAGGAATGTTAGGAGAGCACTACTCCAGGAATGGCCAACCATGTGGCATGGGCAGCCTCTGTGTGTGGCATGAATGAAACTGGAGAAGGGACAGGCAGCACAGCAGCAGATAGTATAGAAACCAGAAAGCAGGACAGCAGATTGGGGGAGGGGCACAGGGCAGGGAGCAGAAAGCAGAGCAGTTGGTTGGGCAGGAGAAAGCTATTGGATGGCACTTGGGAAAGGTGGGCTAATTTATGGCACTCCTGCCAAAAAGGTTGGCCCCAGTGATCTAGTCCAACCCCCATCTCTGATGCCTAGGACTATACCTGAGAGATGTTTGTCTAAACCGAGGTGCTCAACCTTCAGTTCACAGGCCAGATATGGCCCGTGGAGCCACCGCATCTGGCCCATGGGGCTGTCCACAGGTGGGAAAATTTGACTGGGGGGGGAGCAGTGGCCATTAACATGGTCACTCTTCCCCTGATAGATTCCCAAACCCCAAGCCTCTCACAGCCAGTCAGAGCTGGGCCATGTTCCCTTCCCCACTATGGGGCTGGGCCATGCCCCCTGCCCCCACATCTGGATCAGAGCTGAGCCAGGCCTCCCCTCCCTCCCCCCACGGGGCTGGGCTATGCCCCTTTTCCCCCCCATATTTGGATCAGCAGCCATGCCTGCTTTCCCCTTCCCTCTCCTCCCCCAGCCAAACCATGCCTCCTTCCCCTGGTGCAGGGCTGGGTTGGGACCATGTTGTGCAGATGGATGGTGCCGTCTGTGCCCAACCTGGATGCTGGATTGGGACCACCAGCCAAATCCAGTCCTCAGACAGACCAGGCACTGCCCATCCGGCCCACTGGGGAAAAAGGTTGAACACCACTGCTCTAAACCATTCTAATGAAGACCTCTAATGAAGATGGTTCCACAGCATCACTAGGTAGCTTGTTCAAGTATTTTATCACCTGAACATTTAGAATATCATCTGAGGGAGTATTGAGATCCTTGCTGAAGCTGCTATGTATCCCATCTTCTACTTCTCTGTCAAAGAAGGAAATTGGATTACTTTGACATGATCCTTTTAAAAAAAAAAAAAAAAAAAATACCCTAGCTGCTTATCACATTTTAGGTACTGATAAATTGATTTCCTGATACTTGGTTCTAGATGGTTTCTGGGCATCAAGTTATGCTAAGTGATCTATATTTCCTTGAGTTGTACATTTACCCCGTTTAAAGAACAGGTATTATGTTTGCCCTTCCCAGTCCTCAAGAAAATGCTGTGTCCTCCATGATGTCTCAAAGATGATTACCACCAGTTTAGAGATTACTTTAAGCTGGATCCTCTAGTGCTTGGGTGACTTTCATCAGCCCCTGCCAAGCTGACTATTTCTGTCTTACTTAAATATTTCTTAATTTGTTCTTTCCTTATTCTGACCTGCACTCTTAATTCCTAGTTAAAATTAATTTTGTTAAGCATCTTATCACAGTTAACCTTTTTTGCACAGACAGCCAATAAAGAATCAACTATCTCTATTTTCTGATCTTTTCATTATTTGCTCTTTGTTTAGTATAATTTCTTATTATTTCCTTTGTTTTCCTCTCTAAAGGCAGTTTCAAGAATGATAAATAAAAGCTAAATCCCAGAGGTACTACTGTATTGTGCATCTTGAATATTTAATGGTTTACATGGTATGTCAAAACAACAAAAATGTGAATGTATTGAGGTGTCACAAATGGAATAGGGTTGCTAGTTGCAGTCATGTTGGTCTAAGGCAAGGGCGGGCAATTATTTTGGGCGGATCGCTGCTTACCAAGTTTTGGCAAGCCATCAAGGGCTGCATGGGTAGCCCCAGCCCTTGACAGGTGCCCCACCCCCTAGTTGCCATCTTGGGACTGGAAGTCCTGCCCCCTAACTCCTGACCTTTGCCACCAGAAGTCCCTCCCCTTGCCCCCCCCCAAAAAATTACTCCTTTCAGCAAAGGGGTTTGCCATCGCTGAACCAGAAATATACCAAATTATATTCTAAAAATGAAACATGTACCACAACATTCGTTAATTTCATTTCAGAAAATATTTTGTCCTGATTTACATGCATTTGTGTAGTGTCCATAGAGATGATTGTATAATAGCTTAAAATAAAGTCTTACTCTTGTATATTGTGGGGGGTATGGGGGTTGGGTATAGGTTTGTGAGTATGTGGGGTGTGGGGAGGGGGTGCGTGTGGGTTTTGTGTAGGGTGTGGGAAGGTATGGGTTTTGTGAGGGACTGTGAGTGTGTGGGGGGAAGGTGGCTGGGGAGGGTTGTGGCTTGTGTGGAGGGGGAAGGTTTGCCCACAGGCTGCCCCCCTAAACATGCCCCCTGCAGCAAGCAGAGCCCCTGCCAGCCCTCCTGCAAGCCCAGGCTCTGCACTCTTGCCACTCCTGGCCCCAGGGTACTGGCACAGGCCCCCCATCTGTCACTGCTTCCATTCTCCTACTTGTTCCTACCCCCCCCCCCCACTCCCTGCTACTCTAGCACCGCATCCCAGCTGCTCCTGTGGTCCTGAGGCTGCAACTGGGAACCCCATGGTGCCAGCAGGCAGGCAGGGGGGCGAGCAGGGAAATGGCTGCGGCAGGTGGGGGAAGGGGCAGTGAGTGAGTGCGCAGAGTGCAGCAACAGCCAGGATCAGGCTTTTTGAATGTCTGTCCCTAGCCTCAGTGTCTGAACTTACATGCATGCCAAGACCATGGCTGCACTAATGGACTTACCACAGGATAACGAACCTTGAGGCTAAAGTCTAAGGTGACTGCTTCAGTACAGCTGTTGTGAACTAAGTTAGTAGTGCTAGGAAGAAACTACCTTGTCCGAGGGAGAAAAAAATCGTGGATTAAAACATTTACATGGATTGGAACTGAAACAAAAACTTCCAGGTTAGAGTAGATTTACCTTGATTTAAAAAGTATACCATGTAGTTGCAACTTTTTCTCCTTTGGGCACTTGTGGTTTTCACAGCCTAAAATTTTTAGCTGAGTTTAATGGCTTCACCCTGATACACTATGAGGTTTCCATGTATCCTCTTCATGAGGGAAATAAGTGATATATTGCTGTCTCTACCTCTTTCCCACCATCCCTTTCCTCTAATTTCCCAGTAAATGATCTTTTTTTTTATGTTTAACCTCTACTCTTGTTACTGTTGGGGTCCTTAGTGGTTTCTCTCCTATCTTCACTATTCAGTTAGTTGCTCCATATTCAGAAACAAGAGGCACACCTATCCTTCCTTCTATTCAGTATTATTTCCTAGTCTTTCAAACAGCAGATTCAGTAGGGCTGGACCTTAAAAGATCATTTTGTTTTGTAATAATAGGACATGTATGTACAGCGAAGGAAAAAATAAGTAGGGAACAGGATTGCTTCCAGTAACAAAGGAATTAATAGTAGAGGAAAAATTTTCTTTGGAGATGGAAGAATCTTACAGCTGATGATGGATATAGAAACTTACAATCAACATGGTTTGGTTTGGTTTTTCCAGGATAACAACAATTTTATTTTGATTTACTAAAACTTGAATTTTCTGGTGGAACAGTTGTGATGATTAGTCATAGCAGAGTTTTCTCGTTTGATGAAAGGTCACAATTTGAAATATTATGAAACACTTTGATTATGCAGTTTTCTTAATTATATACAAACTTCCTTAAAATCGTTCATGTTAAGAGTGAATGATTCCCTTCCCCCTTTGGCCTCTTCCCTCCCCTCCCCTCCCCACTAGCTTCAGGTTTGGTTTTGTTTAATCAATTGCATATTTTTCAGCATGTGCTGCCAGTCATTGTTCTTTTGCTCTTTTCATTTCCTTTCTTAGAAATGAGCATCAGAACATTCACCCGGAAAACCAGGAACTAGTACGAGCACTCCGGCAGCAGCTTCAAACAGAACAGGTGCCATGCTAAAGGCTGAAAACATTCATCCTCCTAATAACGTCTTGTATAATGTTTCTGCTTTACTGCTGAGGCTTGAAATATTTCTGAAACGAGTCATTTTTGAGTGACGCACACATTTTTTTTTGTACATAAACTGTGCTAGAACCTTATCATTTACTTCATCAAGCTTGCAGTGTGATTAAAATCTCTTCCATTGATATGATGATTATTCTTTTCAGTTTTAGCTCCTAGGAAATTAGGCAGATCCTTTTCAAATTAACCCAGAATTTTTGGGATGCTCTAACAGTTTTTCAGAGATTCTTAAAGCAGTACAGGGGAAGTTCCAGTTTTCTCCACAAGAGGGTGTTAATTAGATGGTAATGCACACACTTTGCTGTATGCTATGCCTGTGGTAGTACAGGGAAGGAGAGTCAAATCTGGAGTTCAGTTTGCAGCCATAGGAAACCGGGAAGATGTTTTGACTGTCTAGCTGAACTTCTTGGAAAACAACACAGCAGCCAAGGCATAGAGAGCTTAGGGGGAGCCACTCAGGGCAGCTGTACACATTGCATCCTTCCCTGGCCTGTATGGGGAGAAGCAGGATGAGGAGAGAGAGGGGAGATTCTAGTAAAGCATTGGAACAGGTTACCCAGAGAGGCTGTGGAATCTCCATCCTTGGAAATTTTTAAGTCTCAGCTAGACAAATCCTTGGCTTAGATGATATACTTGGGGGTAGTCCTCCTTTGAGCACTGGGTTGGACTAGATGACCTCCTTAGTTCCCTTCCAACCCTATTTTTTACGATTCTAAGAGTGGCAGTAATGTAAATGAATGTTGCTGCAGAATTATGGTGGTGTTACAGAAAGAGCATGCAGGACCTTGGTAATAAGGAGTTAGGACTTTCCCATGTCTTTTAGATTGGAGCGTGAGCTCTGAGTAACCATGAAGTGTTTGGCAGTCATAACCATGTATCTAGAGCTATAGATGCTCTTTATTGGCAACCCTGTAGAAGAAATATAAAGATCAGCCATGACACCATCAACATGATGGAACTGTTAAGGTTCATAGGAAATTATCTGACATCTGGGCTTCTTGCCAAGACACACATGAGCTTATGTGCATATTAAGCCTTGGAGCAAAAATTGATAATTATAACTTACGGCAGTGCAGCTCCTCTACTTTTAGCATATACAAAGCTATACTCAGATACTGAGTTTGTCACTTAGGGTTTAGCTTATTTAAACAAATAGGACTGTTTCTTAAATGTAGGAGTAGAAACGTCTACTTTCATTATCCTCAGGGAGCCTGAAGTATGTCCTGTATAAAAGAGGTGGAGGATTTGCATGTCATAGGAACTCTCCTATTCGAATATTTTTTCTGTTTTTGCTCTTATGTTTAATGTTGGAGTCATCTTGTTTGGCTGAGCAAGTGAAGAAAGTATTCTATTTTTTAACTCAAGTACTATTCTAAATTGAAGTTTAATCCCTTGAAACAAATTGTTTTTTATTTTTTTATCCCAACAGGATGAAACTGCTGGTGATAGACAACATTTCTACACTGACATGTCCTGTCCAGTCTGTTTACAGCAAGCTACTTTTCCCATTGAAACAAACTGTGGGCATCTTTTCTGTGGTAAGTAAAAATCATCACCAGAGAAGTTAGTTAACATTTAAACTGTTCCCCTCCTCCTGAGGATATAGTATTTACATTCCAATGTCCTCAATGATTTGGAGTAATTCATGACTCTGGGAGGAGTCTTTCTGTTCCTCTCAACTGAGAAATCCTTAAGTAAATACTGTATTCCATGAATCTAAGGCTTTGTTTGACTAGGAGAAATAGTATAGTTCAGGCTGGGCTTAGCTAACCCCTGCCAAGCTAAAATCAGTTCCTTTCTTGTTGTAGATGCAACATGTCATTGAATTTTAGACAGCTCCATTCTGCTTCTCCAGGACCATTTAGTCATTTTTATTGCTTTTCTCAAAATTCTCTCTTCTGATGTGCAATTACTTGCCTATATTTCAGATACAGAATCATAGAAAAGTAGGGCTGGAAGAGACCTCCAGAGGTCATCTAGTCCAGCCCCCTGCATGAGGCAGGATCATCTCTATCCAAGCTATCCTATACAAATCCACCATCTAACTTATTAGCAAAACTTACACAGTCCTTGTGTCAGGGTTAACTCCCTAACCTATCGCAGGTAAAGCAGGGGGACCATGGCAGCCAATGTTCTGCTGTGGCAAAGGTTGTCAGAATACATTTGAAAGATTCAAGGAAGAGGACCATGCCCCCTGCTACAAAGGAAGGCAGAAACCCCCACAGTCCATACAAATCTGACCATGGGGTAAAATTCCTTCCTGATCCCAAATCTAGTGATTAGTCTGACCCTGAGCAGAGGGGCAAGACCCTGTAGTTAAGAATCTCCACATTTAAGTCTCAGCAGGAGGATTGGCACACCATATTCAAAATCCCAGCCTTGAATGCAGCCAATATCTAGTGCTTCTGAAGAAGGTGGGGAAAAAAAACCTCTTGAGACATCTAGGAGCAGGAGGGGGGAAATTTCGTGGCCCCATGTGGCAGACAGCAATGCCCAGAAGCATGGAAAAAGACCCAGACCAGACCATAGGCATAGCTATGCCAAGATCATCCCTGACCAATGTTTATCCAACTTTTTCTTGAGTATCTCCAATGATGAAAATTCCACAACCTCCCCATTTGCCTCGCTGTTCTAAGAGTGAAGAAGTTTTCCTGCTATCCAATTTAAACCTGCTTTGGGTGCAACTTCAGACCATTGTCTGCAACTTACTTTCTGCAGCAAAAGAGAAAAGGTGGTATTCCAGGTACTGTTTTATCAGAACTACCCAGAGAAAAGAGAAACAACTACCAGTCTACTATATAGCTTTAGACCTTCATTTACATTTGCACTTTGACTTACTTAGCACTTTGCAGGCTTGCTCCTGATGTGTCAGGGATCTTGTTTATTTGTAGAGAGGTAGAATGGAGAGAACAACAGGAGAAAAAAGTGAGTCAGGATACCACTATATGTGTATATATGTGTATGTGTGTATATATGTGTATGTATATATATATATATCATCTTTCAGATGATCCATTTTTAGAAAATATTTGAAAATTGAGACTCTTAGAAAGTAGAGCCAGGTATAAATGCTTTTTGTTTACCTTAATTTACTGGAATCCCTCTAGAAAGGGATTATGGTGAGTTCTAAAAGCTTAATGGTAGTGTTATGTTATGGAGATCAAGAATTATGTATCCTGATTTTTTTCCCACCTTAATCCAGTGGTCCTCAAGCAGGATGCCGCATCAACATAGGGTGGCTTGAGATCCTCTCAAGGCTGTCACACAAAGTTAGCGCTATTAGGCATGCAAACATGATTCACAAGATAAATCCAGAAATTTCCAATAGGAATCCATAGTATTAAAACAGTTCTGACTTCTTGTGTTCTTTCTGAGTTCTTTGCAACAGAAAAATTGCTTTAGAATTTTTTCCATAGTCAAAAAATTAGTGAAAACTAAGACTTGGTGAGGGATGCGTTGAGTCTAACAAGGTTGAGAACCAGTGCGTTAACCAAAAGAAAATCCACTGAAAACATTTTCTTCACTATTAAAAGAAATAAGTTCCTAAATAGTACCAAGAAGAATGAGGTAATAAGCCAGCAATTCCTACAATTGGTTGGAATATTGTTTATCTGTGCTACCAGATTTGAATGTACAATTTAATTCAGTTGGAAATAAATTAGATGCTGTTCTTGAGTTTTTTTAACCTAGTCAAAAAACGAATCAGCTGTTTTCCATATCACACATGTTTTCATGGAAATAAATTTTTTTTCCAAATACTGATGCAGAAGCTTTTTTCTTTTCTTAAAGAGTTAATACAGATATTAAAGAATTAATACAGATAATCCACCAGGATTTACACAATTAATTGCTTCCAGAATTTGAATGAATTTGGTTTAAGTATCTGTAGTGAATATTATATAAAAGCCACCAATTATAAAAACATGTGATACCTGAAACTAATACGTAGAGGTTGTAATGTTGCTCTTTCTTAAAACCTGATTCCTTATTTCTTTATGAAAATAATTGTTTTAAATCAGAAGTATCTACTACCATGTCATTTGATATTTACCTCCATTAGGTGCCTGCATTATTGCTTACTGGAGGTATGGCTCGTGGCTGGGTGCTATTCGCTGCCCAATCTGCAGACAAACGGTAATGCTTTCTGTAATAAAAAATCCAATAGTTCTAACTCCAGTGATAGACCCTGATCCTGCAAACATACATTTATATGAAAAGGGACAGAGGCAGGATATTGAATGGGAGGAAGGAAGGACATATGGAGCTGAGTTGAAGGTAGGCAAGTGAGGGACAGAAGACTACAGGTAGAGTGCATGGAGTGGGCAAGAGTCTGAGTGGGATATTGAGGAATAAAGGGGAACGGACAACATAATGATGGTGGAGGCATAATGGGAAAAAGCAGACTATCAGTGCCAAGAGGTGGGACAGGGATAGCAGAGTGCTTCTCTGATCAATAAGTAAGGAGATCTTTATGCTTGTGTGTGCATTTCATATTAAATTTTGAAGCCCAAATCATCTTACATGCTTTTGAAGGTAAAAGCCTGCACTGAAGACTTAAAAATAGAAGAAAATTTAAAACAAAACACAAAAATCTAAGATTCTTTTTTAATTCTCCTGTTTTTTAAGCTAATCTTTTTCATTGTTAAACAAAGTTGCGCATACTGTGCAATTAAAGCTAGTAACTGTGTATACTGGTTTCAGTCTTGAGGGCTTTATGTTGCTTTATGTTCATAAGAACAGCATGGTAGCGTGGTAAAAATTTTTCTTCATCTTAACATTTATATGCAAGAGACAAGCAACTTATGCCATTCATCCTAAACAGTGACAGTAAAATCTTTACCATGCAGCCTTTCATATATCTGGCTTTGGTCATATGATTTACAAAAATAATTGGAAATATTGTAGAGACATTTAAAAGTACTATTTGGAATATTTGTTGTATTTCTTTGCTTGTAAAACCAAGATGCATTAGTAGCCAGTTTATTATTTTTTCTTATGGCATTTAAATCATGTTATCATTGGAGTGTGTCTCAAATATTAATTAATTTATCCCCATCGCCTGTTAGACAGGGAAGTTGTTATATCCCCATTATATAGGTGGGGGGCTGAAACACAGAGAGGTAAGTGATTGTAATGGATTATTAGTGGCAGAATACAAGTGAGGTTTCCAAAGATGTATAATAAATTGCAGAGTAACATACTGCACTGTATTTATCATAAAGATCTTCAATTTTTCACATAAATAGTTCCATGACATACAAGTGAATATATTACAATTGTTTCTATATAAATACCTAAAGTATTCAGGAATATGTGTACATGACGCACTCTGTGTTCTGCAGTATTAAATATTTGCATCAGAATTAACCTCCAAATATATATATATATATATATATATATATATATATAAG